ATAGTTTGTTAGTGGAAGTAAGAATGTGTTTACAATCAATATTATTATCCTCAGATGAACTGTGAAATCTCTGTGGAAATTTATTTTCATTTTTTGAACTTCGTGAAGGCAAATGTTGTTATGTTCTTTTATTGTGGTCCCTGTTTCATGCAAATGACACATAATTACTTTGCAGTGGCATAGTATTAGTTGGTATTTTACACATATGTGCTGAGCAACATCGCAGTTGAGGCCAGCAGCAAGACATACATGCAGTGCACTGGAGCATCACCTCACATAGTGTACAGTCTTTGCCCACCAGTAAACTCAATATTTTTCAAGCAGACTAATAGACAGCTGTATGGGAACTGTGTTGATGTGCAAACTTTGAAGTCTTCTTGAGGAGTGTTTTTCATCATTTTTGTCCAAGTGAAGTAGCTACCCAAGGCAACAACTGGTGGGAATGTGGTGGTTTCCTCTCTCCAAAAGCACTCTTACCAGCTGCCTCAATGTTAGCATGGGGTGAATTCACGAACTGGAAAAATAATTGGTCTTTGTTTTCTTGGCCGAAAGAGTCGCTTCAACCGTTGAGCCACATAACGCGCCAGAATAGAAACTTTTAGCTAAATAAAGTTGATTCTACTTTTGAGAAGTGTTTTGGGGAAACAAAATGGCACCTATAGCTGTCAATATAAACACTGTTTGCACCAAGGAGCTTAGTAGCTTATAATTGTATTATTCATGTTTTGTCTAGAATTTACTCGTGCTGTGCCAACTTTCAGCCCAAGTGTCCTAACATGCTTTGTTAGTGGGTTGTGAATGAGCCAAGCTATGTAAATAAACAGAGTGATATTGCAGACATGTACAAAATATTGATGCACAGCCCTTTTCTTTAGCATGACATTGTCAAGGGCTTTATTCTTGTGTTTTTTATAAAAACTGCTTGTCACTGGGCAGCAGCAGAAAACTATGCATCAAGCTTTTGCGAGATAATTCGAGAAAGACCGTGTTCAGACATAACAGTGCCGGTGGATATCTCTCGTAAGTTACTTTCTGTAGTATATTCAAAATGAGTGTATTAGAATTGTTGTTTTATAGCCATTCATTTTATTATTTACACCTGAGTGTATGTATGTATGTATGTATGTATGTATGTATGTATGTATGTATGTATGTATGTATGTATGTATGTATGTATGTATGTATGTATGTATGTATGTATGTATGTATGTATGTATGTATGTATGTATGTATGTATGTATGTATGTATGTATGTATGTATGTATGTATGTATGTATGTATGTATGTATGTATGTATGTATGTATGTATGTATGTATGTATGTATGTATGTATGTATGTATGGGTGTACATATGTATATGTGTGTGTGCGTATATGTATGTATGTATGGATGTATGAATGTATGTATGTATGTATGTATCTTTTAAAAGAGAATCCGTTTATCATTGGTGAGTAAGTTTGGTAATGATTTGGCTGAATTTGTTTGTAGTTTTTTCTCTTTTGAGCCATTATACATTTCAATTTGTTTTGTACTGCATAAAAATAAATGTAACCTTACACAGAATATGCGTGTTCGAAGAAGTTTCATTTACCAACCTACAGTCATGGGCAAAAAATTGGGTAAAATGGAACGAACCTGCGAAGATTAGCTTCGAGCATAGCTACTCTACATGGCATATCTCGTACACATTGCGTTGGTTGAACATGTCGATTTCAACCTTTCAATTTTAATCAGAATAAGCAAGCTATCACCCGCGGTTGTATATGTGTGTGATATTTATGCATACTGTGATACCGGTTCGCAATTACAATTAAGGTCACAAACCTAGTCAAGCTGAATACACGATTTTTGTCCATGCACCTTTCATCTGCACTGGAACTGTTGTTAATAAAAAATAAACTTCAGTTTAGAAATTTATTCTAGTAGCCTAAAGCAGGGTATCTCTTTATCACACAAATCAAATTGCCATTGTTCTGTTCCATTCTGGACAATACGGGACCCTCTCAGCAGAACTCGATTAACTGCTATAGTTCATTTTAACCATTGACAGCGACATTAAACTGAAGCGTGCAGCATGACAAATAGCGGGAGAGAAGACACAAACTAATCACTCTGTTTGCATCAGCTCTAACTGTCCGTGCTCTTTGGTCTTGCTGCATGTGATGATGCCCACCAAACTAGCACGAAAGCGTGTCCCTACAAAGGCAGTCAACTTGGCTGCAAGCAGTTAGCTCACTGCATGTTGTTACGAATTTTCTCTGTCGCGATGGTAGCGGTGGCGAAGAGCGGCGAGCCGTCGAGCGAACTTCGCTGAAGCCTTAGCCCGAAGGCGAAACAGGGAGGCAATTCGTTTTGAAAACTGCAACAAAAGTAGCGTTTACTGTAGCAGGTTGTCGTTTGTACAGAGCCGGCCAGCACGACAACGTCGGCTGGGGCAAAATCCTTCTAACATGGGGCCGGCTCGGCCTTAAATAGCGTCTTTGGTCCATTCTCTCAGACCAGTTCTCGGGCTCGGAGGGGAGACGTAGCCATACCCGGAACTGCAAAGTGGTTCGGCGAAGGAAGTGACGTTATCCCCGGAACTGCACGGTTCTTCTGCGCGGAAGGCGGCGCTGGCAGGGGGGGGGGGGGGGGGGAGACAGTTCGTCGAAACAGGGCTCGCTCTTGTGAGACGTGCTCCCGAACGAGGAACATGTCTGTGGCACAACAATGTGTAGATTTTCTTCAAAACACCGTGAAGACTGATTGCTGGTCGAATATCCAAACACGTGAAAAGTAATATACCAGGTATGATATTGGTATTTCAGCACTGGACACTTTTGCGATAAGAGAGGATGGAGGAGAAAATTATCAACCCTGAATTGTTTAATTTTTGAAGGAGCACAGTACAGCGCTTTTGGGTCAAAAGGGGAGTGAAAGAAGCAAGTGCGAAAGCCTACTTCTCAAAAACTTAGTACCCGCCACCACGCATAATGTCAGGCCGGGCAACCTCTTGAAAAAAAAAAAGTGCTCAGTGATTCTGCGAATCGAACCAAGTACCTCCTAGATTGTAGTTGAGCGCTGTAACCGCTCGTCCACTGCAGCAGTGCTTGTGTTCGCCTTATTGCTGATATATCGTCATTCCTTGGAATGAAGCCAAATGCAAAAACGTCCCGTGAAACTTTGTCAAAAATAGAAAAAATAGTTAGAATGCGTTTTCCCAAGGTTACTAGAAGATAGAAACCGCCACGTGTGATTGTATAACCGTGCGCTATTTATTCTTGTACATTACTGTCATGACGTTGGGATAGCCGGCTCTAACGTACGCTACCTTCTCATAGTTTTCCAAATATAGATAAGAAAATAAAAATATATATCGGCCTGTGACAACGCTAATCAACTATTATGAGTTCACTGTCACTAGTGTCACTTTCACTAGATGAATGCTCAGTTTGCTTTCATTATCGTTATTTAGGAAAGTTTTGGCTCATTAACTCAACTCTCTTAATTAGCATTGATTCTCACACCTAAGGACAGTCACACTTCATCTCGCTTTCTGAGTGGCTGTCACTCTCATATAACGCGTACTCCACTTTTTTATGCTCTCCGAGCATCTGACCCTGTTTTGCGGAGACTTTCCCTGACGTCTGCTGGGCCAGAAAATTGTCTTTATTATCTATAAATTTCAAGCTTTCGCGAAGCCGAAACGAGAGTCTCTCTCTCTTTTCATCCTTTTCGCACGTGTGATAACGTCTCTCGACCTCAAGACTCGTATACACGTCCCTTGCTTTGCGCACTCAAACAACGCTGGGCGAAATATTTGCACCGTGTTTTGTGAGAAGCATTAGCACTGAGACACCTCCCGACGAGTCTTCCTCATTTTACGTAGACACATACCTAAGCGTAAGCGTATGCACGTTCTCGCATTCCGGCTTTATAAAAATGCTGCGGTGCATGGAACCAGCGAAATTGCGCACAATTTCATTTGATTACTGCTGTTATCTATTTCCGCACAATTCGTCTGCAGGCACCAAAGTCGCTCATGTGTCTTGTAATAAGAATATTGTAACAAAGAGTACCTTTGACTATAGGTACAAAACACCCTTGCGTTCACCACTATACCGTGCTAGATTGCACCGAATTAGTTAAGTAGCAGCGCAGCTTCAATGAAATGTTAGGTAACTGGTCGCGTTAAATAGGGGAAGACATTCGAGGCACATTTTTAAACATTGCATGCATCGATTTTTGTGTCGTTTCATTTATGTGGTACACCTGGAGTGTTGTTTACTTGTACTTGGCGAGAGAGTGCATGGATTGCTCGATGACTTAAGGCCATCGAGCAATTTCGTTTTTAGCTACAGTCGTCGATGAAAGGTGAGTGCTTGGCTTTGCACAGCCCGCCAAAACGCCTATTACAACGTACGCGGCATCCCGTAAGCGCTGTAGCAGACGCTCGCGGAACTGAAACTTAGATGCAGCAAATCATTGGCTGTCATCGTATACTCTCGATGCTAGACGCTTTGCGTGCTACCTTGATATTATCGGGACACACTTCTTTCTTTCCTTGTCGTTTCATCAGCTATTGTGTATCCTCCTTGCCCTCTTAAGTGCTGAATAAGTTAAATTCATACCCGCGCTATAGTAATCCCTCCAGATAAGAGAATTTTTGGCTAAGAAGATGCGTAGCCAAAGAGAAAGCTTTGTGAATTCGGCCCCGGATTTTCTCAAAGTTATTCTTTAAGATATTGTCTACAACATGTTTCAGAACATATACTGAATGCAATTAATCCTGCGGCACATGGCAAACCATAGGCTTTGTATGAATTTATTGAATAGCAAGGGGTAAAAAAGTTCATACAAAAAAAAAAAAGAAATGCATGTGAGCGTTTCGCACTTAGTCACAGGTTGCCCGAACTATTTGCAAAGCTGGCAATCATTTTTTTTTTACTCCTTGAATATTCGGGAACACGCTTTTCAGTATTTGTATATTTGAAATCTCCGACAAAATTTATGTACAATTTATAGCGGCATCTGGCTGGATCGAAATGCCGACATCGATATTGATGCATGGGTCGACGAAGTCAGCCTTCGTGGATGAAAGGCTCCAGAAAGCTGACGGCCCTTTTCACCTCATCGCTGTCGTCGGGCAGTTCACTTTCGTCCTCTTCGGGGAGAACCTCGTCGCCGAACACCGTCTCGTCCACCACTCCCGTCGTGTCCCACACAAAAAGGCTGCCGTCGTACGAACCGGTGAACAGTTTGCCCTTCACCACCTGCAAAAGCCCGCTGCACTCAAATTCACGGTCGTGCTCCGAAATGTGATGACTTATCGCCGGGAACCTCGAATTAAAAACGGGTGATAGATGTATTAGAACTCTAATTTAGGAAGCTTCGCCTGCTTTTAGGCAGCACTTATCCTGGGATGAAGTTCTGCCGAAGTGCAGTTGTTAATAGAAGTCGGCAACGGTCTGCTTAGCACTCTACGCTAGTTGGTTGGTGCACATAAATCTTGTTGCCCAACGTCTTCTCTCTCCGCGCAGTAAGCCAAATGCCCCTGAGGCCCTTGTGCTATAGCTTTTATAAACAAGAAGCTATCCAATCCCGCTATTAATCAACCTGGTCTATCCCAAGTTTTGTGCTCATACAACATGTGATAAATGGGACGAAACCATAGATCTTATGCTCGGGCATCGCTCCACGTTACGCAGTAAAAAGGACAACACTGAAGAGTGGTGGGACGTAGCTCTATTCAGTCTCACATTAGAGGAGCAGCTATAGTCAGTCCAACCAAGCCGCCGAACCGCTTCGGGCTAGGAAACTAGCGCGAGCTATTGGACTTCAAAAAATTTTTGCATGAGTCTATCCATGTTACCACAGATTAACAACATGTAAGCGTTGCCAAAAACAGTGCGCGGCTGATCTGCCCAGACTGAAGCATCAATGCGGCGCTAACATTGCTCCCTGGATTGCACAAAACCACTTGGTTGCTATGGGAACGCGCATCTGCACGTCCGTTGACGCTTCTGAAAGTCATGCCTGTGAATGCAGCTCACACGAATGCTGACTTGAGGGTTGTGGAAGCAATGCTCGCCCTTCAACTGACCACCCAATTGATTTTGCAGGCATTTTGAATAAAGTTGTTATCTCTCTCTCTCTCTCTCTTTCACCACCAGTTATCCATCTTACGCATTATGAGGCAAAGTGAATTTCGTTTGCAAACTGCCAAATGAAAAAAAAAAAACAGTCACACGTACTTGTGCTTTCACCAAATTTGCTGCCTCCGATACCTGAATGCTACCCTTATCATTTGCCGTTCTATCACACGCTGCGGGATCCTTAACTTCTTTCAGGAGTTTCTTTGTTAATATGATTATTAGTGTTTAAAATTCAAGAAACCATGATGTGATTATAAGCGATACAATATGAAGGGCTCCGCAAAATTCGGACCGCCTGGTGTTTCTTAACGGGTACCTAAATCTGAATACGCAAACCTCAAGCGTTTTCGCCTTTGTCGAAAATGCGGCCGCCGCCGCCGTGATTAGGTCTCACCATAGAGTTTCCCAAAATTAATTAGAGGGCGCTGTGGCGCTGCGATCGTTCAGCGACCACGGGAATGATGGGTGGTACACACATTTGCCTAGTTTTCGTACTTGCGGGCGGTGGATCCTACTTGCGGCTTCGTTTATTGCTGGTTACGGTTTTGTTTTGAAAGAAAGAATGAACCCTTTTGAACTTAATGACTTGATTCAAAATGATAAGCTTAAAAAAATAAGGTTGTGAAGCGCAACCACTGAACATTTGCTAATACTTGTTTCGTAAGAAAACAGCTCCAAGCCATATGAACACACACGGAGCCAAAAGCAGGCCAGAAGTACCAATATTAGAGAAATGTGTGTACTACCCATCATTCCCAAGCTCACTGAAGCGTCGTGCGTTGCAGCTCCCATAGACACTAGCGCCAGAGTTCCCCCTATTAAGTATTGTGAGAAACTCTATGGGTCCCACGACCTCCGGGTCAGTAGTCGTGCATCATACCCACTATACCACTGTGGCGGGTGTAGTTTCTTTGTTATCCTACATGTTTCAGCTCACAATATGCTAGCACTAGCGTTATGCGACGACTGTGAACGGTTAAGCTAGGCGAGGTTACGTTGGGGGCCTAACCCCCAAAATGCAGAGATGTTAATTGGCTGGCGCCTTCGACTTGCCTTGAGTAAGTCGGCTTGAAGCAAGCAGCGGACTTCAGCACGCCCAAGTCAGCCTTCGCGTTTTATAGATGCTCAGGCTGTCTTGCTTGGTCAAGTCGAGAACGAGCTTGAAAGCAGAAACAAATTGCTCGCCTGGTAACGAGGTTAATAATCAGGTGGTTTGTGTAAGTCCCGTGTTATAGGAAAAAAAAGATCGTACATATCAAAATAACTATAAAAGCGAAGTGCCACTAGCATATTTTTGCCATTTTACGGCTAACGAGTGGCACGTTGTGCCCGCCGCCGCAGCGATGCACAGTGTTGCGTTTGTAAAGCATCTGTTGCCCGCTGGTTTTAGTGGCCCCCCAAGTGCAGCACGTTTCTCCACGCTTGCTTGTTTGGAGGTGAAACAAGCATCGCGTAGGGTTCTTTCTTAGTTTTTTTTTAATCGAAGGACACGGCGTGTATTTGGCTGACCTGGCTCGCGAGGTAACGCGATTTTCAAGATATTCGCCTTTCTATTCGCCCGTGGACATGCTTGTAGCGGGCTAAGTCACAGTTTTATATGAAAAAAAAATAAAAAGCAACAAGTGCAGGAAAGAAAAGTTATTCAAATTCTTTTGTTAAGTTTGGTAAACAAAAGAAAAAGTGGGGGTCACGATATTGCTCTCGGCGAAATTTTGTCTCGCGGGGTGCAGCAATGTCTCGCTGCATGATGGTCAAGGGGGAGGCTCATGGTCTGAAAACCCGTCATAGGGGCACCTCTTTTTTTTGTGTGTGAACTTTTTCTTAACATTGTGCTGCAATTGATGCCTGTCTGAGCGAAAAACAGCGCCCTATACAGAACGAAAGGATAGATAAGGCACACAGACACAGCGCTGAGTCAATTTTGTACCGAAAGAGACGGATACAATGACAAATGTCGTCGTGTTTTAGACAAACAGAAATAGCCTTTGCTGTTGCGGAACAATTCGGCGTCTTCACCACCGGGGCTATTAATAAGCACGGCTGTGCAATCGAGACATCCTGTAACGCCAGGAAACTCAGCCATTTCATAAAAGTCCCGCATAACTATAGTAAGTGCCACCGGCTGCGGAAAGAGCACCAGCATCGCGTACAGGTGCTTTGCGATGAGTACCGTAACTTTTCAGACTGCACGGCATACTGTCGACTATGGAATGCGGACAAGATTCCCGGTGACTGTTTGGAATGTGCCAGCGCCGTAAAACCTGAGCGCCATCAGTAGCCGTAACACTGGAGGCACAGGCCGTCTTCGGTTGTTCCCACTTTCACGGAGCGGCAACATCGCCAGCAGCTGCCGCACGGCGTTCTTCGTGAATCTGTATCGAGCGTGGAACTGTTCCTCGTCGTACAACTCCATCGAATTTCCTGGGTCACGTAAAGTGGATAGAGGAATCTTCGACAGGCAGTGCGCCTCACAAATGCTACGCTTAAGGTGTGGCAAGCAAACCCAACAGCGGCCAACCCCCGCGCGACGTCCATTCAAAAGGTGGCCATGTTGGAATAACACATGATGTCGCTTTCAAGCTAGCCCCGCAGCTGACTTGAAACTTGTGTGCTTTGATTGAGCCAAGTCGCCTTGAAGTCGTTCGAAAGTTCGAGAACGATTTATGGCGAGCGGCAAGGCTGTCTTGAATCAAGAACGAGTCAAGTACGAGTCAAGTACAATCTCCGCTTTCGGGGAAAGTTTTGGACTCGGTACTATCTTGCACCCTTCATGCCACTGCTGTGCACCGGAGAGGTACGTTTTTAATCACTTTAGCACCTTTATTTTTGTTTCATTAACACAGTCTCGTATAAATTTTTTTGTTTTTTGAGGTTATTTTTTGTCTATATACCTTACTACTACGCGCTATGGTTGCGTCTTTCAGGAAAAGTTTAGCCAACCACCCATTCTTTGATCAATACAAGAGTTTTAGAAGTGCTATGCACGAACTTTAAGACCCAGCATGTGCAGCCATAAAATACTTCACAATAGGTAACGCCTCATTTTCTGCTTACCGCAAAATCAACTTCTAGCAAGTTTCTTTTTTAATAACGACGAAGAATGTTCATAATCAAGGACATTTCAATGCTGGATATTAAAGATATGAGCTGTCGAATTACCACCTTCATAAGCTGCTTTTATATGTGAAAATTTGCGAAGAGAAACAGAAAAAAAGAAGGGCTTGTGATGAGATTTTGTAAGCACATTTTTTGAAAGCAACGTCTTTCAATGAAATTCGAGGACTGGCTCATTTCAGGGCATTGCTCACACACTGGCGCCACTCCTGTTATAAAACATTCAGTTGATGTAAATCTTTCATTCAGATACAAAGCAAATAGGGTGAAATAAATGAGCTTTTTAGTTCTTTTTTTTTTCTTTGAGAATTATGTATGGATGATGGATGATGAAAAACTTGAGATGACGGATGGTTGTATGCAAAGAGCGGTGGTGGCCAATAAACTTGCCTTTGTTCAGAAAGTAATACTCGTAATTTAATGACGAATCATAGTACTGCACCACCGCTGAATTCAGTTTGGTTCTTTATAAAGTAATGAAAAAGAAATGCGATAGTGCAGGTGAGGTTGCCTGAAAAAATATATATGTGCAGGTTGCAGGCGGTGGAAAGATCAATCAAGAATGGTTGTTTTTTCGCTAAAGAAAAAAAAAGTGGGACCACAAGAACACCATGAAATCGCTCGTGTCTTGTGCGTGTGTGCTAAGTTATACGCTCTGCTTTGGTCCCTTGTACCAAAGAAGAGTCAAGGGCGCATGGCAGCGTTTCCACGGACGCGGCACAAAAAGCTGCTTGGCCCGCACAACGTGCACGCCAGCTGTTCCCCACGGCCGGAATCGTGAGCGGGATCGTAACTTTGCAAAGGAGCAAGTATGATTTCCCTTCCTCAGCTGCAACAACGAAACAAACGTTAACTCAATTTGTTTCTGGAAACCACACGTTTTGCCCCGACATGCTGAACAACACCCTCACAAGAAAACAAACAGTTTGGGTTGTTGACTTACCACAAAACATATCCAGCGTTTTGATCATCTGGCTTTCCTCTCGAGCATATATTAAACTAAAACAATGTATGTTTCGTTGTTCTCTCGTAGATAACATATTTTAAGAAAAAAAGAAACTCGTCCTGTGGTGCTCTCAGCCTACACACGTGTTAGCGATATTCTGAAAAAAGACCTGGAGACAGCTTCCTTTGATCCAATAGCCTACGGCGTGCGCACGTGCGCGCGCGCACACACACACACACACACACACACACACACACACACACACACACACACACACACACACACACACACACACACACACACACACACACACACACACACACACACACACACACACACACGCACGCACACACGCACGCGCGCGCTCTTTCTCACTCACTCACTCATGAACGCACGAACGCACACTTTCTTTATCTGTTACCCGAGTTTAGCATACTACTCTGGTGAGGGCAAGGAGGGACACAAATATAATGAGGAGTGACGAAAGTTGACAGTGAATGCTTACGTGTGCAATGCAGTGCTCATGTTAATTCAGCAGAACTTCCAGCGGCTATTCAGTTTTTCTTTTCACTTCGATGATGAACTTAATTGAACAGGCAAGCTCCACCTGAACAATGAGACCTGAATAATGAGAAGTGAAAGGTTGCATGGTGGAACGCTGTGTTTGTTGTACCTTTAAAAAAGAAAACAGGGTAAGCAAAAATATTATTAATTTTTTTTACTTCATTTGAAATCTGCAGCTTTTTCTGAGCCAAAATAAGTCATTTGTTTATCTTAGAACGATTTCGTTTCTGTAACAAATCACATATTTCAAAACTTGTGCAGTGGCCTGTCAAGCCCCCATACTTACGTAGCAAGATATTCCTTGCAGTTAAAGCATCATAGTCATATGAAACAATTTTATTTTTAAAGCTGGGGTGGATTTGGCACATTCAGAAAAGAATGAGCCTAGAACTGCGAAAACGAAACAAAGCAGAGACATCAAGCTTTCTGTCGGGAAATATATAATTTGTCGGGGACGTCTTAGTGCTGTCATCATTGGGCAGCACTAAAAATATTATCGTTGGATTATTAAAAGAAATAGAGCCAGCTTGGAGGACATCCGAAAAGCTGTTCTGTCCAGATAATTTCACAAGGCGTCAAAAAATACCAATAAATCTAACGGCCTTTACTCGAAGGACTCCGAAAATTTGTCAATTCATCAAAGCTCACTTGAATAAAGAACAATTCGTTCATAAAGAAAACATTCCAGCGTCTGTTATTGGGGCTGTTAAGCCCAAATATCTGCAACTAGCGCATCCAGAATTACTTTCTAACTGCCTCCGCGGGAAATCTCAAAACCATAACGAGTCGTTGAATTGTCGTGTGTTCTGAAAAATGTTTTTCTCGAGCTTCAAACACTGTAAAAATGCACTCTTGATGCTGTGTTCACTTTTCATGATGAAAATATAGCCCTTGTGAATGTGATGAACTAATTTAGAATTTTATCAGCGCTCGGCACAGTGCAGGGTCTACGCACCCTTGAACTGCGTTGACAATACTGTGCTGACACGGCTTCATAGCACGCGACAGATGAAGCCCGCCACGGAAGACGTTTCAACACAAAAATAAAAACAAATATCGATGTATCTTGCAAGTGCCTATTGGACAAGTCCGTTAGTTTTCTGTTATGTCATTGTATTTTTGAAATAATGTAGATTTTGAACTTTAATTGAGACTATCTCAAAACATGCTTTTTGTACTTATGTTCTTTCTTCATAGTAACCACACTAACTAGAATCATAGTTTTTGGCCAGTATTTAGATGGCGTAATGGGGAATATACTGAAGCAGAATTATTGTTGTGTGAGAAAGTGCTATTCTGCGACACAACATCTGATAGCTATTATGAGTGATAATATTGTTCCTGAACTAAACTTACAAAAAATGAGCATTACAATTCTCAGTGTTAAATCTGCTTCAGTAAAAACAGGAATTACTCATCATAACAATCGTAATAAAATAATTACTGTATATTTTGTGGTTATTTAGAAAAAAGTATATAAACTTCGCCTAAAATACATGGCGGGTGTAGGGTTTGCCCTGTTCCCTTAAAAAAATCAAGAGTATACCCTTGTGGTCGGTCGAATGGTGACAAAGCTCAAAGCGAAGTGTCCCTATTCTCCCATCGCCACTCGGCTGTAAGGGCCATCAGAACAAACTGGGCCAGTAAACTGATGCGATTAGTTGAATGTATAATAAGTTCCTGGGAAATTCTGCACTAACTGATCATGAGGCGCATGTTTACTACGTAGAGAGCACGCTTATAAAGCTTGAAAACCCTAGTTTCTCGTTAGTATACACGCTGACGGCGCACTGTAAGCGCCACGTGAGGCTCCGACGTGGCGCATTTCTGCAGCTTCTTCCTCTAAATTATTTGCCTGGAAGTGGTAGGCGTAGTCTTATTCATAATGAATCGATGTAATAAGGGAGAAGAATGGCGCAAAGGAAATTGTCAGGTTTTAGCATTTTGAAGTTCCTTGCGCAGGCAAATGCACGACGTTTGTTTTGATGCAACATCGGTTTTAGTGGCGCATTTGGCACTTACCTGAATACAGACGACGCCATGCTCATGGCCTCGAAAAGAGCGCTTCAGCGTGCCCGATTTGGCTTCGAACATGCGGGCAACCTTGTCTCCGGAGCCTGTGTACACTGTGATGGGCATTGAAAGAGAAAGGAAGGCACAGATAATTAAAAAGAAAGTTGAGAAAAAAGTTTATCCTTGAATTAGTTTCGTTAGGCTTCATTAGCGTTGAAGCTTTACTGATTAATCAACAAAAGGGCAATTAAATGTTGAATAACCCATAGTTTCCTTCTATCCAGTAAAAATGGTGGTTGTCTTTGCGGAATAGCGTGGCATTGATGCGGGCAACTTCATTCCTAATCGAGTGGGCCGTCCCTCCAAGCTATAAATAGCGCTGGAGAATGTACCTTATTACAGGTTCTTTTCGAGTACATGGCGTTTCATTTTTATTTTCCAACCGTGCTATTATGCACAAAGTTTGGCATGTCTCGTAGATAGAAAGTGATTATCACCAAAAACCAGCAGCTGCTCGTTCACCGCCCAAGCACTCACTACAGCCAGTTGAAGGGAGAAGATAAAACGTGCGGCCCTCACAACCGGTGTTTGCCACCCGTGTGTCCTTTGTAAAATTTTACTGCACTTGGCTGCTGAGTAGTGAGATTTGTTCCATTTCTGTGGCACACATATAATAGCAGTTTTAAAGCAGAGCTTTTATGGTTAAGAAGTGAGAAGGATAGAAGCGTAGAGAACTACAGGGAGATAGAGAGAACAAAGGAACGAAAGAAAGAAAGGGAGGAAATATAAAGAAAAAGAAAGAAAAAGACACAAACAAAAAACAAAAGACGAAAAAGAGAGAGCAAGCGAAGCCTTGTATGTAGTATGAAAAGGAAAGTTGAGGGCTCGTTCAGTTCTAGTTAGCCACAACTATAATTAGAACTAATAGACAATTAATTCAAAGAAAGTATACGGGAGGCTGTTTGTAGTAATTCTCGTATTAATATAAGCATATCAAAATGGACGACAAGACAACCTGCCACCAGCAGGGACAGAACGTGCCCCTTCAAATGACATGACCCCGCCGCGGTGGTCTAGTGGCTAAGGTACTGGGCTGCTGACCCGCAGGTCACGGGATCGAATCCCGGCTGCGGCGGCTGCATTTCCGATGGAGGCGGAAATGGTGTAGGCCTGTGTACTCTGATTTGGGTGCACGTTAAAGAACCGCAAGTGGTCGAAATTTCTGGAGCATAATCATACGGTGGTTTTGGGATGTTAAACCCTACATATCAATCAATCAATCATCAATCATCATTCGAATGAAGTGCCCGATGCTCTACGAATTCAGCTGAAGTGGCGGTCAGTCCGCGCCGACTTTATCGGGTATATATGTGAATTTCAACCTGGAAGTTTTAATCATCCGCGGTCGTAACCTCTCGAGCTACGTGATGCCAGCAGGCAGAAAAAAAAGGTGTCCTTCACTCGCCGCTATGGCTACTCAGAAACACTCAAAAGTGTCATAATCTCCAGAGGTAACCGCACAGTTAGAGAATGTCACGACCTATGCACAAAATGAAGCTCTTAATAGGCGACAACACGATTAACGGCTCGGTTATTGTACTTGTTTCCAAGTTTTCCAAGTTCGTCAATAAACTCAGCCTCAACAATCAAGCGAATGATCATTTACTTATATTGATCTATGATGGAGGTTCTGCTTTAAACAATATTCAGCTCAGCAACCAGACATCTGAGTGTGGTGGAAAAAAAAACCCGTCAGGCAGCAGCTTTCCATGCCTTGTTGTTCTCTCTTAACCATTCATTTAAACGTGTGCCAGTTTACCCGAAGCGTATTTCCCACACGGGAGTGTTCTCATGTGGTAAATACTTCGGCGGCCAAACTATAGCGCAAGTTTAAACGAAAGAATTAAGGCAGCAGAACAACAAGGCAAAGAAGCTGGGCTTGGCGTCGTCTTAGATCGACACAAGGAACAAATTATCCACGTAATTGTCGATGTTGGCCATACTGATGTGCTTGCCAACAAGTGCATAAACAAGCTATAGATAGCATTGTCGCCTAAAGCAGTATAATTTCCTGCGTAAGCGCTGACGATACAGTAAGGTGTGGTTATCGCTGGTGGCCATGATGTTTTCTAATTGTAGTTTTTCTCTAGTTTCTTGGTTCATCCATGGGATATGTGTTCGCCACTGCGGTTGTTGGATATACAATGGCCGGGTTTTTAAAGTAGTGAATATCTGCAGTAGCGATACGAGAGTGTGTGTGTGTGTGTGTGTGTGTTTGTGTGTGTGTGTCGATTGATTGATTTGTGGGGTTTAACGTCCCAAAACCACCATATGATTATGAGAGACGCCGTAGTGGAGGGCTCCGAAAGTTTTGACCACCTGGGGTTCTTTAACGTGCACCCAAATCTGAGCACACGGGCCTACAAAATTTCCGCCTCCGTCAGAAATGCAACCGCCGCAGCTGGAATTTGAACCCGTGACCTGCGGGTCAGCAGCCGAGTACCTTAGCCACTAGACCACCGCGGCGGGGCTGTGTGTGTGTGTGTGTGTGTGTGTGTGTGTGTGTGTGTGTGTGTGTGTGCGTGTGCGTCATGCTTGGGCCGCAACTAATAGTCCTTCTAGCTTTAAAGCCTATACAACTCCAATACTTTTAGCTTTGAAGAAGACAAGTTTGCCTGTCGAGACACCATCTCAAGCAGACAGCCCCTGTTTACGAGTTCATTTGATCGCAAGCTTCCATCTTCCCTTTCCTGCAGTTTTTTACGAAATATTTTTGTTACACAGGTGATTTTTAAGGGGTCCTACAACACTTTTTCAAGTAAAAATTGAATGACATCAATATATGAGATTATGGCCACATGAATCGCCTGCCGTAAAATTTTTACAATGCATGACACAAATTTGTCACACGTTTTGAGCGCTTTTTCTCTGCCTTCACACCAGAGATCGCGTTGAAAGCTATTCGAAGGTGAGGAATTACAAAGGGGCAGGAAGATGCTTCCATTCATCAGCGCGCGTCATGACCTCACGACGCCTTGCACAAAAGAGCGTTTTGCCGACGATATGGTGCTGCCACCTGGCTGTGCTCCTGCGTTCTGCACAAACTCATGTTTCCCGACGGCACTGCCAGATGGACTCCATAGCCCCTCTTCTAATTCTCAATACCAAAAAGACACGGCCGATCCAACATAGAGAAGGCACTGTCTGAGGCAAGACAAAAAATAAATGGCCACTTGGCCGGCAGAAGACTATCGTCTTTTGACAACATTTGCAGTGAAACACACAGATAAGCGGCTATTTTTTTCTTTGAAGGCATGGCTTGAGGCGATACCATCTAAAAAATAATTCAGGCCTGCTCCCTACTCCGCGGACATGGCCTTTGACGTCACTCATCTCTGACCCTCGTATTCTGCCGAGTAGGCGTGCGCGTGCATGCCTGCAGGTCAAAAGAGCTGGATTGCCTAGCCTGTCTTCATATGCTGGCCTTTCTTTTGGCGACTGCATGACGAAGACCGTGTTTTGCTTTGTCTGTGAACCACAAGTGAATGGTTTGTAGACCGGGCCGTCAGGAAGCGCTCAGACATACTTAATAATAATGATAAGTAAGAGTGCGCCACTGCATATGTTCGCGTGTGGCTTTTGGACGCGTAGCGGTTAGTTTGCTGATTCGCAAGAAATAAATAATGACGTAGTCGGCACTTCGCAGCTGTATACGCATTGCAGGATAGTTTTAAACGGACAGTATTATTCGATCAAACGTTTAGTTCTCTGTGGAATGGTTGCGGCGTGCACCGAGAACAGAACTGAGGCTATACCGATTGAGAGGGCAACGCGAACGGGCCAAGTTGCGCGACCGCAATCTGCTCTTCAAGCAAACTTCGAGCGTCCTCCATATTTCTGCGTTAATAAAGGAAGAAAAACTCCTTGATAGGCATAGTTAGTGTAAAGGCATATGTACACTCGTACGGAGACACACCCTTCCTCCTCCGTGAAAAAAATGTGGTCATTGAAATGAATCATTAAAAATAAATTACCAGGACTATTGTAATGTTTCGTTATACTAGCAAACGGGGCATGCATATATCAGACGGCGCCATGCTTACGAAATACTCATTTAAGAAGTACCCTCTTAAAATAGGCATCTTCGTTTGTTTGTTTTGTTTTTAAATGCGTAAGCTTGTTTAGACCGACCGACGAACATAAAAGGAAATGAATGTATAAGCTAGAATAAAATTCCTTAGTTGTGCTAGATTTCGAACGCTTACGCTCGAAAGCCGATCAGCTCGTTCACCACGCTGAGCACCCACGCTTCTCGCGGAACGTGATTATACCGGAATGATATAAATGCGTTGTACCCTTGGTACGAAACAAATGTGAAATCCTTATACTTTCTAGGCTTCCTTGAAACATCTCGTTGTGCTGAAAATAACGCCCTCTCTAGGGACAATATGTAATGCTAACCTGTAGGATAGAACTTTTCGGGAAAAGTCTGACTTTGCGAGACTTTAATGCGAAACAAGTGTTTCGGTGTTTGCTATAGGTGCGCTGTCCGATGAGACACTTGCAGACGCCGTCAAATGCTGTAAAAAAAAAAAACGATGAAAGCGCTGCTTTCGTCTGACTACAACATTCCATAGAATGTCACAGACATCGGGTTTTCTGCAACAAAACACTAAGCTAATGAATCACAAACCCAACTTCCGATAGAGATGCTGCGTGGTGTATTTTTTTTTTGTCGTTTATGCACCCACGCAGGTTTTCTAATCCAAGCTGAGCCCCAACGGCTGGTTAATGCTCAGTGGATCCTTCGCCTTATTAGACATGCTTGTTAGATATTTCGCAATTCTTGCGTGCTCCTTCGGTCAAGCTCCAGAATAAGTTTGAACACAGAAACAGCCCCGCATTCGTAGCGAGCGAGGTAGTGCGAACACTCGCTGGTTCACAAACAATGGAAGTAAGCATTACGTCTACTAAACACCTTAAGTAGCCTGAACACAGCCGCCCTTAATCGACCGTCCACACACCGCTTTAAAAGTAGTCAGTGTGTAGCGTATACGAACGTTGTTGTCCTGCTGCTATATTCGGAAAACCCAGTTCGTTGCGAGCGCTAACA